TTAGACCCATCCCCCAGGGAGAGCGGCCCTAAGCCAGCAGGTGGTCATCCCCTGAAGGGTCCCAGACTGAGAGAGGGCACAGGCTGGGCTGAGGGACCTCCTTCCCCTTCCCCCCCCTAGTGAAACAAATTTTTGTGCACCGGGCCTCTAGTAAACTGAATAAATGTGGTGCATCCCTGCTCACAGGTGGGGGAAGCTGGCTCGGAGTGACATGCTCTGCCTGCGGGTGGACAGACCCAGAACTTAACCCCAGTCCGTCCTATCCCACGTCCGCTGGGCCCTGCTGGGCCTCTCCATCCCCAAGTACCTACCCAGGGACCCTTAGCACAGGCGAGTGGCAGCGCCCAAAACTACCGTGAGTTCGGGTCATGGGGACATCACAGGGGAAACCTCCAGGGAGCCCCAGAGACAGGGGACGTTGCGGTGCCCAGCGAGGGCGAGTGGCACAGTTTGATGCCTGGTGGCCTGAGAGGCGAGAGCCGTGGTCACTCAGGCGCTTGGCTGAAGGAGAACGTCACTTCTCTTCCCTCGATGGCAAAGGAAGAGCAGCCCATGCCCAGCGCTCTTCCATCTTAATACGTGAGCGAAAAAAGTCAAAGTGACAAGTTAGCAAGACTTGGGATTCTGGCTTGTTCTCCTTTCTGCTTTACATCAAATCAAAGAATCTCGGGTGCACAGTAAGGAGAGTCAGTCAGTATCAGGGGCGCTGTCGGTTTGTTTTCCCAGCATAAAATCACGTCCTCCGTAAACGGGAGCATCAATAGCAGAAAAGCCTGGCTGATTTCCATTTCCTTTTTGATTAGAGAATTGCATCTACTGAACTCAGGAAGGGAAATCTCTCCCATTTAGCTTTTGAAGATCAAAGAGCCCATTAAACATGCCGTGTTACCAGCGTTCTTTTTCTCTCTTGGGTAAGACTTGGAGGTGCTTTATACATTGAGATTGCCCTGGGGAACAGAGAAGACTGGTATGGACTTCCCTCAAGGTCCCTTCCCTCAGCCAGGACATCTGTTGACCCTTTTATTCAAACAGGGCTGCCCGGTCTGCTGAGGTTTCTGTGCTTAGAGCTGACAACCAGAGAGTGTGGGCCAAGGGCTTTTCAGTGAGTCGCCTTCTGATTCCAGGGGTTGGGGCTCTTTCTGTATGTAGTTCATTCGATAAACTACCAACACAATGTGGACTGAAAAGTAAAATCATTGGCCTGGCCAGTGTGGCTCAGTGGTTGAGCATCAACCTATGAACCAGAAGGTCACGGTTCGATTCCCGGCCAGGGTACCTGCCCGGGTTGCAGGCTCGATCCCCAGAGCGGGTGTGCAGGAGGCAGTCTATCAGTGATTCTCTCTCATCATTGATGTTTGTATCTCTCTCCCCCTCTCCCTTCCTCTCTGAAATCAATTTTTTAAAAAGTAAAGTCATTGACCAGGGAATGAATCTGTGTAGGAGTTCAGTTGGGGTAAATCTTGCTTTGCCCCAAAAGGGAGCAGACGGAGACAGATGTCCAGGTGATGACCACATTCCCTCCCTGGATAAGTAGCCAAATGCGTATCTGACCCACCAGAGCGTGAGGTCAACTGCATCTGCAGGAAATCCCCCCGGGCAGCACAGTAAGAGGGGCCTGAGCCACAGGCACTGGCTGGTCTCTCAGTTGCTTCCTGGCCTTTTGAGATTAACTGTCCTGTTTTCATTCCCTGTTTTAATAAACCGGGAGAGTGAAGACCTTTTTGCCCTTATGTGTGGTGTGTAGGCCTAATTTGAGCCCGAGATAGGTCTTTACCATGTCAATCATAAAAGGAAAATTATAGGAGAAAGGTTGAGATTGATTTCAAATTAAATGATCAACTAAATATAATGAGTAAATTTATCTTGATCAAATACTTGACATTTCTTTCTGCTTTGGGCAGCCAACAGTCCAAAGAAGACAAATACTCCGATCTCCGCTATGACCCAAACTGGAGGAGTAAGAGAGAGGAAGGGCACGTGCTGACTATGGAAGCATCGCCGGAGTCCGCGGGCGGGTCTGCAGATGAGCTGGCTCGGGGTCCGCTCTTCCCCTCGGAGACTTCCACGGGACCCTCGGCGGGGCACGGCCCACAGGACAGGAGCCCACAGAGCGAAGCCTCCCTACTTGGTAGTGAGTTTTTAAGCCCAAACTCTGATCATGGTGCCCACCACAGCACCCGGATCTCGGGGCTGAGCGACAGGGACCTGGCGGAGACGTCCAGCAACCTCTCTCAGTACGTGCAGAGTTCAAGTTCACACAATGAGGTCTTCTGGCCAAGATCACGGGGCCCTCGGCGAAGGAAGTCCAAACAATATTTTGTGGAAAAAAACAAGCTGACTTTGGGATTCCACACTCCTAAAGTGGACTCTTATCTTCAACTTCACAATAAAAAAAAGGAGAAAGTCACACAGAACAGGTACGTAGCAGCTACTTTAAATGTCATCTGAAACACTAAACTGGAATCTCCTTTGTTTGAAATGGCTGGATAGCACTTCTCTGGGATAGTGATGTCACTATGAACACCTAGCTGAGGAAGTCAAATGCCCTACACCTTGCCCCTCTTTGCAGAATGAAGGAAATTATTCCACAAATTCCTAAGAGCAAAATAAAAGTCATGAATGGTTATAGTTCTGTAATTGATGTAATTCTATTATTATCTCCAAAATGTTTTCATTCAAGGGCTCATAGAGTTTTTAAACGCATGCTCCAGGAGATGAAATTGACAAAGGTTTGACTCCGTGTCAGTTGCCTTGGTTTCCGCCATAGCCCCGGGTTTCAACCCTGCTCCCTGCCCTCAGCACATTGGATGGCAAGACACACTCACTGACAGCACTCACATCCACAAGTGACTCAGTCAGAGCTGACACTGTTGGGTGGTCATGGGAAGGTGGCAGATACAGCCTCTCTAACCCCCACGGAGAACCATGACACCGCCCTTTATCATTAAACCTTAGTCTCCCCATCTATAAAGATAGAACAATGATAAATGTCCTCCTTTTCTCATCTGACCATTTTGAAGGTAATTCTATCCCAGATAATGGATTTAAAATCTATTGAAGCCAGTAAACTTTTTAAAAAATGTATCTTTATTGTTGAGTATTACAGATGTCCCCCTTTTTTGCTCCACTGACCCCTTCTACCCCACTCCCACCCCC